TCTTGATGGAGTCCACTTATATGAATAGGAATGGTACAATTTTTAGGAGTAATGAGCTTGGCTCTAAAGCACTCATGAATATACACGACACACAATCATTGGAATTGTTTTGAAGTATTGCTAAATGATCTTTTGATAAGATATGAAAGCTTGGCTTTGGTGCATGACTAATCGTATAAAATTATTGGTTCAAAAATCTAAAATCTTTCATATAATTTTGATTAGCTTAACAATACTTTACAACTATAGTGAAGATTTTGAAATCATATAAATATGATATCTTCATTTATGTATAAGATTTTCGAAAATACTGAAACTTACCGTATTTTGAAAATAAATGGAGAAATATTAGAAATATTTTCAAAAAAATGAAAGATAAATTGGTTAAGTATGATAACTTGATTAAAGATTTGAAAATAAAGTGTTTAAAGCTAAAGTTAAGCTTTAGAAAGCCTTTAAACCAAGTTAAAATGACTTAAAAAATGAAAGAAACAATAGGAAAAAGTTTCCTAAGGGAGCAGTCAATTACCATAATAAGATAGTTGGTAGTTTAGCTTTTAGTATGAAAAAAAAATTCTGTTATAAATTTATCCTTGGGAAGTCGATTACCCAAAGAGGGAAGTCGATTGCCATGACATGATGAAAGCCTTCTATTTTTGAAAATACACTCAGGAAGTGGAGGCCTGTATAAGGAAGTTGATTCTGAAAGTTGTGTTTTATTGAATCGTGAAAAGTGGTTTGTCTTGGAATGAAAAAAATATGATTATTCAAATAAACTAATATAACTTTAATTATTCATAAATGTATCTTTTTTATTAAAAGAAATTTTTTTTGATTGAAACAATACAATAAAAAAGTCACAATCTTAGGATTTAATTTGTATAAATAGAGATTATGTGCTCATTTGGGAAAGTTCAAGAATTAATAATTTAGAAACTTTCTTCTTTTTCTCCCATTTTTTTCACAAATAAAGTAAAGTTACTATTACATTATTTTTGCAGAAATTAATGTTTAAAGGTTAATGTTTTTGTTTGCAACAAAGGGTGTTAGTGGCTTGATATCATAAGGGCAAAGTGAACTCAAACAAGGTTTCATTGTATCATAGAGGTATTATGGTTATATCAGTTTTGCATACCATAACTAGTAGGGACAAAATAAGTCTCAAAGAAAATGGCATTTGCAACATGATGTAAAGTCCTTTTTTTATTCTTTGAATGTTTCATCTTAGGAGCAACCAAAGCTTGAAGAGAAGACTATAACTGAAGATACAAGTGAAAGATCATTGTCAAATTTTGCAAAAGTTCGTAATGGAGAAGCAAGCTTTGGATCTTGAATTTTCTAACAGTTGCAATATAAATTTACAATTTATAGTATGCTATATAAGGTTGGTTTTAAGATTATATTTTAACAAAAGCAAAATATGTTTTATATAAATGTGAATATAATTAGAAATGGAATGTGCTTTAAATATGATTATGTATGAAAAAGATTGACTTAAAACCTTGCTTGCTATGATATTTTGACACATAGTTTAACATGTTTATTATGATGGTATGAATCTATAAAGCATATTTTTTTTTTAATTCTATGATTAAGCATGATTAATTAATATGTTTAACGAATTACATGCTTAATCAAAAAATATTTCTAAGTTTTTATTTTTTAAAAATAAAATTATGTTCTAAATATGCATAATTGATTCATAATAAGTAAATAAGTACTTGAGTCATATGTTATAAAAGGAATGTTGAGATTAAACTTTTAATATATCCATAACATGTCAATATAGTATTGAATGCTTATATGGTTGCATTCTTGATGGAGTCCACCTATATGTGTGGGAGTGGTATCATTTCTAGGAGTACTGACCTTGATTTAGAAGTACTCATGAATATATATGACACACGACCATTAAAATTGTGTCAAAACATGGTTAAATGTTCTTTTTATGAGAAATGAAAGCTTATGTGTGGTTTTGTGCATGACCAATCATTTAAAATTATTGGTTTAAAGATCTAAGATCTACCATACAATTTGATTAGCTCAACAACACTTTATCACTAAAGTAGAGATTTTGAAATCTTGCAAATAATCTTCACTTATGTATAAGATTTTCAAAAATATTGAAACCATATTTTGAAAATAGAGGGGGGAAGGTTAGAAATATTTTCAAAAGTAGTGAAAGATAAATTAGTTAAATTTAATAACTTGATTAAAGATGTGAGCAACAAAGTATTTAAAGCTAAACTTAAGCTTTGGCAAAGTTCTAAACCATGTTAAAATGGTTTTAAAAAAATGCAAGAAACAATAGGAAAATGTTTCCTAGGGCAGCAGTCGACTGCCATGATAAGGCAGTTGGCTATTTGGCTTTCGCAATGAAAAGAAACTTTCTGTTATGAATTTATCCTTGGAAAGTCAACTACCCAACTAGGAAAGTTGATTGCCCTAACAAAATTAGAGTCTTCTATTTCTAAAATTCACTAAGTCGAATGCCCATAAGGAAGTCGACTGCACTAGTTCTAAAGTTATGTTTTTTTTTTTTTTTTTAACATGAAAATGGTATCTCTTGGAACGAAAAGTATGATTATTCAAATGAATTAATATAGCTTTAATGATTAAAAAAGTATCTTTTTGATTAAAAGAAATGATATTTGATAGAAATAACACAATCAAATGATTACAACCTTACGATTTAATCTCTATAAATAGAGATTGTAAGTGTTCATGACATTAAAGAATTAATAATTCAAAAACTCTCTTTCTTTTCTCCCATTTCTTTCAAAAATAAAATTACTTTAACATTATCCTTGTAAAAATTAATGTTCAAAGGTTAATATTTTCATTTTCATCAAAGGGTGTTTAGTGGTTTGATGTCACATGTAAGGTGAAATTAAACAAGGTTTCATTTTATTTTGAAGATGTCTTGGTTATATTTTTTTGCATATCATAATTGGTATGGGTGAAATAAATCTTAAGAAAAATGACATTTGTAGCATACCTTGAACTTATTTTATTGTTCTTTAAAGATTTCATCTTAAAATCAACTGAGGCTTCAAAAGAAGATTACAATCAAAGATACAAGTGGAATATCATTATCAAATTTTACAAAATTCTTGATGAAGATGCAAGCTTTGAATTTTTGACTTTTCTAGCATTGTTAACGTAATAATTGTAATTGCAATTATACAAAATAACGATATGATTATGATGTCCACAGTTTGATTCTATTCTAAAGAAATGAAAATCTCTTTTATATAAAGAATATTATCTTACTATTCATTTTCTTGAAACATTAAACTTTATGTGATTTATAAATGATTTGACAAGATAAGAACATGAAAACAAATCGGGCTCCCAAATGGAACGTAATTATGAAAATTTTCTTATCTTTGGAATGAAAGCATGAGTATTTCCGACTTCACCTATGATAAAAGCTTATAAATTTAAGCCATTGTTTCCCATGTTTCAGACTAAATGTTAATAATTTTTTCTTCACCTGGCTTCTGTCCAAAAGTTAATAATCCATTTTGCCATGTTTTCCTTTTCAAAGCAGCTGAATTCCCTTATGATCAGCAGAATCTTAGCCAATTGGGAGGGAAGTTGCATGGACAATTCTACTTGCAATATTGTTAGCTGTTGGGAAAGCTTTACATGAATTCTGATGTTAGGGGCATATTCTAAAAGCCAGTTGTCTAAAATGTTCCCTTAACAATTTGCCCATCAAATGAAATTTGACTGTTCGATCTTTGAACAAAAAAAAAAAACAAGTTTTCTGTACTCTTGACAGGTGCATTGTCCAAAACGTGAATGGAGTACAAAACTTTAAAATTTATTCTATTCTGGTTTAGCATAAATTCCCACTGTTGAGTTTCACTGAAAATGATGTTAAGAGAATCTAATCTTATATCATAATGTAACCCTTGAAGCAAAATATTTTTAATTGATTTCTGATCTTTCTCTTTCGAATTACTCTCTCGAAAACATACATAAATACTATAACTCAAAATTATCATAGACGTTAAGATTAAGATTTTTTTAATTTAAAACACATACACATTCACATACACATACACATATAATCTCTTTCTTTCAAACTTGATATTACAGGACAAAAGACTTAAAACCTAGATTCAACTGAGGTTTTAAGTTAAGCTTTAAGGCATCCATTTCACCTACAATCACATATATATATATATAATTTTTTTATGATTTAATTATCTTGTATTCAATTGTTTTAGGAGAAAAGGGTTAGCTTAAGAAACGACTTCCTCAATGGTAATATGGTCCACCAACAAGCAACTCTCCATGATAAAATCGAACATAGCTTAATTATTCATCGTCTTTTATTGTCTTGGGTGAGAATTGTTATTGACACGAGAAAATTTTCAAGTCCATTATTTTCTCAGCAAATCCTAAACTTATTTATTTTTTTGGTTGGGTTGCTATGGGGTGGAGTGGGGATATAAATGACAGGAGGATGCTCTAAAAAACAAATGCCATTAATCCAAATTAAGAAACTTTTTTAAAGTTAAGGCGCTTTTGTTTTTGGGTTAAAACAATGCATCCTATCTTAATATAAAGTAAAGAAAATTTCTTTCGAGTTAGCTAAACATTAGTAATTTCAGTGAGACCTATTATTGGATCTTGAATTTGAAAACACTTACCTAAATAATTAGTTTATTTTACTTATTTATTAAGATATTTATAACAGTAAAAGCAAGTACATATCTATACGTTAAAAATTTTAAATTAAAATTATAGTTAATGTTACGAGATTGAACTTTATAAGATCTAAAAAATAGTAATTGTTTTTCACCTTAATTTAGTGATTAAAAATATTTTATGAGAATATAAAAATTTTAATTTCGAATTAAAATTTTTTTCTTATAACAGCTATGCTTTCCCTGAAATCATTAAAAAAAACCGTTACATATAAACAAAAAATTCCATATGTTCTGTTTAAATTCATATCCATACGTACAGAACACCGGTGCATGAGTTAGAGCGATATGATTTTGCATCAGTTCTTACTGCAATTACTGTTTGAGGCAAATTGCCTCGTGCGCGTGCAGAAAACGCGCGACACTCTCTCTATGTCCCAGTCGAGCTCGACTATAAAGTACTGACGCATTTATCTTTTGTGTTACCGTGTCTTACTGACTCTCTCGCCTTGTTTTCTATCGGCCGACAAAAATGGAGAGGAATAATAGCTACGATGAGAAGCCGGCAGTGATGGTGACAAACGACGATGGAATCGACGCTCCAGGCCTCCGAGCTCTCGTCCGCGTTCTCGTCTCCTCCAATCGTTTCCGCGTCCTGGTTTGCGCTCCTGATTCGTACGTAATTACATTTCTTATATCCTTTCTACATAGATTTACAACCGGGACGGGATCAACCCGTTCCGGTGCATGAACAGGTCTAATTTGGATTCGTCTTTTCAATAAATTTGTATAATATTTTATATTTTTTGTAAAATTTATAATTTTAGTATACGTATATACATGTGTATACGTTATATATACGTACACAGTTCTGATTCGCGGCTGATCGTGCTTTTTATTTGGAGTTCATTGTTCTGTTTTATTATCACATCTTACAACTGTTTGATGAAAGTTAGTGGCAGCTTCTGTAAATAATAGGATCGTCGTGGTCATTGTTGTATAAAATTTTCCTTCTCTTTGTTTTTCCCAGGGAGAAATCAGCCGTTAGTCATAGTATCACATGGCGTCACCCTGTTTCTGTAAAGCAAGTAGATATCAATGGAGCAACTGCTTATGCTGTTTCTGGTTTGTTTTTATTTACCTTTTCTTCCCTTCCAAAAATAATTTTGGGTTCCAAATTTAATTACATAAATGTTTTAGAAATTTGAGGATGATCATTCCTCAAATGTAAAACAATGCATTACCATGTTTAGTTTACATTGATATTAGTATGTGTTATTTGAAGATGTTAGTCGGTTTTTAGACATAGTTTCAAACTTGCAATTCTTTATGGATTCTCTGCAGGAACCCCGGCTGATTGTACTTCTTTGGGTATCTCAGAAGCACTCTTCTCCACAGTTCCTGATCTGGTAGTAATCTGGTTGTATTGAGTTCTACTGTGATAGATGTTTCGCATATTAAATTTTTGCAGTAATTTAGATATTGTTTTCCATGATTATGCATATTGAGGAGATACTTTCACATTTGAGACAATGTGGTTTGGTAACTCCTTTTTGGACTAAACCCTGGTGTGGCATGTCACAGAAAGATCAATAATTTTTTTTCCCTAAAATTTGTTGTTTATCACGTTTAGATTGTGTTGCTAGTTGTTAACTTTCTCCTTTTCCATACACAGGTAATCAGTGGCATAAACATGGGCAGCAACTGTGGTTATCACATGTTAGCAATCTCTTTTTCTTTATTTTCTTTATTTTCTTTATATACCTTCTATATATTAGTTAGCTCCTGATTTCATTGTTATTAGCCATGGCTCTGTACCATAGTTGTAAATGCTGCAGTTTACATAGTGGTTCTATAGGAAAAGTCTGTTTTTACTAATTGTGACCAATTTAGCCTATTATTGGAAGCAGCATCTACTCTGGTACAGTTGCTGGTGCTCGAGAAGCCTTCTTCAATGACATACCTGCTGTCTCTATATCATATGACTGGTATGTGGATATATACCCATAACAATATGCTTGTATAAAAGGATCTTTATAACTAGTCTGCAGTTTCTTCTCTAGTATGTACAAGCCTTCTTATTTGATTATTCTTGGTATGGAATTTCAGGGTTGGAGGTAAGAGCAGTGTCGATGACTATATTCTTGCTGCTGAGGCTTGCTTGCCAATCTTCAATGCAATCATAGCTGAGGTTAAGAACAAAAGTTATCCTCTAAGAGGCTTTTTGAATATAGATCTGCCGACAGATCTTGCCAACCACAAGGTAAATTTCAAATTAGATTGCCAACATTTGCCACTACAAATCCTTGAATATTTTGTGTGTCTAGAGTCCCTGTCTTTTAGATACTTAACATCTAACCTGTTGGCTATCAATTCTGATATCGTTAATCTGATAGCTGTGTCGTGTGGGGCTAGGTTGAGAAGTGTTTGATTAGTGCTAGCATTTGACAGAGGTGTTGTTTGCTCAAAAATCCCTTTTGCCAATATCTGTCTTGATTTTGTCTATTTCAGCCTTTTTTTTTAATTCTCATCAGTCCTACATTTTAGGCTAGAGGTTATGTTCACATTATATGACAATCATTTCTCAAATACTTCATCTTTGCACTTCGCTAAAGGGCATATATTCCCCTAATTTGTTTTGCTGTGCTGTAGCTTTGTCAATTAAATTCCTTATTTCCTGTATTATGTCTAATTTCTTCAGGTGGTCTCAACTTGAAAACTTGTTGGAATTGGTTTACAAAGTTGCATCTTAAATTTTCTTTTCAAAGGACCCCACTTTTAGCAGGCATCAGGCTAGCTTTGCCTTGTTTCCTTTAGGGCTTTCCACTTTCTTGCTGCCACTCAGTTACTTCCAAATTTACTTTTTATCAATTTCTAACCTTGTTCATGGTTGTTATTGTTGTTTGTTTGCTGAATATATAGAAAATTTCTCTTAGGTTTATGATGGAAAATACTTAGGTAAATGAAAGGGTTAAGGGTTTCATTTCCTGCTTAAGTTCAGAAAGGAAGGGCTCAGCTAACATCTTTGCATGGCAGGCTGATTTTATATCTCAATTACTTCCCCCCTCAATGAATTGTTTCTCTTTGTCTATCTAGATGTGTTAAATTTCTCTGTTTCAAGTGTTTTTTCTTTTTTGTCCCCTGATTGTTAGTTTTATGATAGTAGGTAATGATTATTAATTTGCTTTGTTAAGTTTTACTATAGTAGGTAATGTTTTATTAATTTGCTTTGTTATGCAATACCTTCATTACTGGCATCTACTTCATCATATGAACATTAGTAATTCTACCATGTATTTATTCTGGATGTTTTTATAATGATTATTTTGGCTGTTTCTTCTACCTCAAAAAGGGATATAAGTTGACTAAACAAGGTAAAACTATATTCAAAATGGGGTGGAGGCAAATTACTTCTGAAAGGCAAGGAGGAAAGATGTTATCCACAATGGAAATGGAGTCAGATTCATCAGCAAGGACAGAAATTGATACATCGACAATAGCAGGAGGAGATCTCTTCTTCCAAAGAGAGGTGATCCCTTATTCTCTTGGTATATTTTTTATTGTAAAAATACTTTTCTGCTAAGTTGGATTCACTTTGATTATGCAATGTTCATTAAACATTATTAACCAGCTTTCTTCCACATGAAACTATGCATAAAAAGATGGCTACTTTGAAGAAAAAGTTAATATCTTTTATTTGGATGGCTAAAATGGCTAGAATGTTGGTATGTATTATCAAGTGGGAAAGTCATTTAAAGCATGTTATTTGAAACCTGGTTCTGCATTACTTGTAAATAAGTTAGAAGTTGAATGCCTAAAGTATGATTGGAAGGGCGTTTACATCCCAAATCTTGTTTGATTTAGAAATTGTTTTTCAATCTTTCTAGGTAAGAGGAGCCCAAGTTGATGATGATGATACGGATCAGCAATTTCTTCAGGAAGGATATGTGGGTAATTTCTGCTAAACTTGATGCAACTTTTTTATTAAATAGCTTGTAATTCACATGGTACTCAAAATTTTATTTCAGATTACTGTTACTCCTCTTGGAGCCCTCTCTCAGGCAGAGACTGATTACGTGTCCTACTTTGAAGAATGGCTACCAAGTGCAGTTCAACGGTTCTCTTCTTCAGCATTATAATGCACTTTAATATCCCTCTGGTGAGTGAAATAATACTGAACATGCCTCATAAGTTACTCTGAGTACTGTCTCTGTCTCTGTCTCTCTCTCTCTCTCTCTCTATTTTGTGATAAGCATTTGCATCTTATTTTTTGTCAGAAAAATAGCGTTTCTGTCAATTTCTCTTGCACGAACTATATCTGTCAGAAATTTTGTTTCCAAGTCTTCTGTTTCAAGCATCAAGCTATGAGCAATCCTGTATGAGTGATTAGTGTTCTTTGCTCCACTTGACCCCTTACTGTGAGAAAACAGCATAGCATACTTAAATGGCCAATTAGGTTTAGATATTGTGCCAATTTGGAGTAATTTTTGCAACTAAATCAGGGGAAAAGTTAAACTTTATTTTTCAGCCTTTCCTGAAAGTTTTCCTTGCTGGATAGCTAGCTAGTATAGTTGATAAACCTGCCACTAAATTGACAGCCATCCTTGCTTTCCATCAAATTCCCGAATTTCATAATGCAATAATTTTACCACTAATAACCAAAGCGGAATTGCTCTTTATGCATGCCTGTGGGGGGTATAACTGATGTAGTGTGGCCAATACAGGCATGGATGAAACAGGCATAGCCTTGGATGCCTTTCTTTTTTGTACAACTTTGAGGTCAATTTAAATCCAAGCCACAGTCTTCCACTTAATGTTCTTTTTGTTAGGTCACTTTTATGGGTGTGTAAGTAACTTAGTAAAGTAATAATTGAGCTGAACAGGCTAAATATGAGATCATTTTTCTTTGTTCACTTTGATTACTTGCGGAGCCATTTCGTTCTACTTTTATATGCACGTCTATTCCAAAATCCAGAACCAAACTAAATGAATGAATGTATATCTTTAAAAGAAATTTTTTTGGATAAAATACTATATATATATATATATATTTCACTGAACCAAAATAATCAAATAGATATATTTAAAGTTATGTATTTAACTACTATAATTAGAATAGATCCTAAAATCAATGGATGGAGTTGATTTCATGGCTTGCTGCAAGAATTCCACTATTAGGCAACTTGAGCAATCATATCTAATATCTTCACTACTTGCTGTTTGGTGGCTTCAGGAACTTGCTTAGAGTCCGGTTGGAAGGACCTTTTGAACTCAGTATTTCTGAGGTGATTTCATGGGTTCTGTCGTCTCTTCTATGATGTGATTGTTTGCCTGCAATCTGACTGGCGGGTTCTCACATAGTTATGCTCTCTCTCTCTCTCTTGAAAACTCAGCATCTAATAAGCTTTTATGATTATTTTGCTTTATTTGGAGGACACCCGTCATTGGATACCCTATTATATGATATGAACTATATGGAATTCTTGTAGTGGCTGGTATTTACCCCTAATGTCAAAGCTAGTTGATTTCTCCTCGCCATTTTCTAGTTATTTTAATGTCTTTTCTTTTTTTTTTTTTGGCCCCAAGACATTGAAGTTATTTTAATGTGTTTCGATCTGAAAAGTTATTAGATTAGTATATATTGCTATTTATTATCTCTACAGGGGTCTCATGGGATGAAAAAAAAAAAAGAAATGAAAGAGACCTGAGGGAGAATTCAATATATTGCTGAATCAGATGGGAATTTGGCATAGTAAGATACTTATAAATATTGATAGAATATTATAATATGAAGTACCTTGTTTATTTACTTTTTGTCAAAGGTAATGCCATTCAAAGTGCATTTCTATGTAACTATTATACGGCTTTAGGGTGTTAAGGGATGTTTACTAAAGCAAATATAGAAAACATAGAGAATAATTGCGTTTTTTTGTGTTTAAGTAAAGAGATTCACTTATATTAATATAAATTTTACTTTTTTATTTTAAATAAAATAATTAAAATTAAAAAATAATATTTTAATCTAAATTAGTCATAAATAAACAAATAAATTTAGTTAAGTTAGTTTCAAAGTGATATTATTTTTAGAGTTTTAAAATTTTACTCATAATGTACTAAATAATGATTTAAACAAAAAAAAAAAAAAACAAATTGAAATTGAAATTGAGCCACTAGTACCTTGTAAATTATAATTGCCGACATACATTTCAAGAAAACTTTTCATGATCTATTTATAAAATTTATATGAAGTTTTTTTAATTAAAATTTATAAAATTTTATCTTAAAAAAATTTAAGAAAAAATTTAAATCAATCTATTGATAAAAATTAATATAAAGATTAATAATATGTTAAAAAATTATTAAAAAAATTATTTATAATTCAAATTTGATTGATGTTTATTTAACGATAAAAATTTTATCAATATTTTTATTAAAAATATTTATTTAAAAAATATATCTAAATTTATTAATTTTTTAAACACTTAATCTATATAATAATAAGACTTTTAAAAATATCGATTTTATTTTTATTTAATCATTTCAAATAAAAAACTTAAAAATTTCACTTAAAAAACGTTTTCTTGATCTTCTATCTACGAGCCTATCTTAAACAATACAACTTTGCCTATAAATTCTGTAAGAAGCAGATTCTAATAAACATACAAAATTCGATCCTTTGCCCGTAGAACATGAAAAATGTAATTGATTCTAACGGCTACGGCGAGAGGCCAACCATATTTTGGTCACCAATGTCGATGGAATTGACGCACTCGGCTTGAAAGCTTTGATTAACGTCCTCGTTTCCACCCATCAACTCCGCCCCTCAACTGTACATGTTTTCTCGGGTTTTAAGCTTAATTGAAGCTTTTCAACAGTTCAAATTCACCTATACTCGGAGCTTTTAGGCCAAGTTTGAGTTATTTTTTAGTAGTGCATTTGTTTGAAGTAGAGATTTTATCAAAATAATTATGACTAGTACTGTAGTAGTGTAGTTTCACTTGACTAATAATCCTCCACAGCAGCATCTTACTAGTCTTTATCATCCCTATTTTTATCTGTGAATTGATATTATTGCAACAATTCTAGGGAAATTTCAGCTGTTAATCATAGTATTACTCGTGGCAGATTCTTGATTTTTTTTCTTATATCTACTTATAATATACATAATTATAATATAAATATAAAATTATTTTTACGAAAGGATGTTCATGAAAATATTTTAAGGATATTCAAACAAAAATTTTCTATCAGATTTTCTTATTTTTCAATTCTTGTTTAAAGAGTGGATCCCCCCCCGAGTATTACCTAGGGCCAACCCCTTTGAGTTAAGCGAGTAGAAATGGAAGGAGCAACTACTGCTTTCATGGCGTCTGGATTGATGCTTGATCCCATGGAATCTACTTAATTATTGATAAATTTATGTTTCTTTTCGGGTTTTGAACCAACAAAGTGCACGGTCTTAATTTTAACACACTTCCCCTATTTGTTTTTTTTTTTTTTTTTTTTTTCAAGAATTCCGGCTGATTGGGCATCTTTCTGGCATATCACCTATCATTTTTTTACTAAAAATTATTCAATCACAATAAAAAATTATGTAAGGGTCCACTAATTGTAAGTGTGGACTCCACATGAAATTTTGGTAGATCTCGCGTAATTATGAATTATGTTTAGTTAATTATAATGCAATGCTTGTAAATGAAATACTCTTGTATGAAATGCTCTCATATGAGAGTCTCCTCAATGCTCTTTTCTTCAGTTCCTGACCTGGCAGTTCCCTGAATTTCATGTGTAGTTATTTGAGACAAACATACTCTTCTCAAAATTCCCTTGCTGGAGTTATCAAAAAACACAAATTGACGCCTGTTTTCCTTAAAATTAGTTCAGGAATCTTCTGTGTTGTTAATGCATGTCTAATTTCTCTGGACAGGTTTTCTATGGCACTAATCATGGCAGCAACTGCGGTTATCACATATGAGTAGTATGTTCTCTGTTGTCGAATTTTCATATGGTTATTGACTTGTTACTTTAAATCATAATGTGCCAGCACCCTGAATCAAAATACAGAATTTTTTACAAGCATCTCTGAAGTGTCCGAGTCATTTTATTGTCATGAAATCTCCAAAACACCACACCTGCTAAGCTAAATGAAACTACTTATTTGTTAAACTAACTTTTCTAGTAGTAGCTGTTAAATTAGCTTTGTTTCAGATATTGTTCTGTCAGTATGTTGTGAATTTTAGTTGTTTGGCACTGGCAGGCTTTTGTTCATTGCAATACTTACCCAGTTCGACCAATGAAATTGCAGTGTTTATTCTGGCACGGCTGCTGGTGCTCGAAAGGCTTCCTAAATGGTGTAACTGCTGTCTAGATATCATACGATTGTTATGCAGGCATATCTTGCAGCTATATATTGCTGGATTAGAAAGAAATTTATGTCCAAAGTTAAATTCAATTCAGTATATCAGCAGACGTCAAGCTGCAATTCTCAGGATGTGTTTAACAATAATCCTGAGCAAAGTCCTCTTCCACTAGTTTCTTCATATTTGGTTCCTGTGTCCGCATTAACATGCATGGTCATGGTCCAACTCCCATGTCCTACCTTCACAATTACGCTACCAATTTGAAGCCGAAGACTGGAAAATTCTTTCCATTATGCCCTTCTATACAGCCTAAAATCTCAATTTTTAGTGTACGTTATAATGTTCTCATCAAGCCACTATTTTCATCAAGTATAGGTTATATTGGTCCCTTTTGATCGAAACCATCTTTTTTCCTTTGATATGAGGAAAGCATAAAGTTGTTTCCATTAGAGAATTTTAAAGAGAAAATGTTGTTTTTATTTGTGCCCTTTCTTTTAAGGGATGACAACATCCTTCATCAAATTGTTTAGGATCATGTCCTAAAAGCCTACTTCACCTTGCTTTCCATTGACTTCTTGTTTTTGAGCTTGCTTTCGTTATTATTTATTTTTTTTGCCCTTCCTTGAATATATCAGCTAGTTATGAACTTCTGCTATTTTTAGCCCATGCATCGTTTATATGTTTCCTTCCTTTACCAGTTTTTATGTATATATGGGTTGCCAGGCATACTTTTGAAGATTGGCTCCCAAAAGTGGGTCAACACCAATCTTCAATTCATCAACCTGATAACCCTCTATGGGATCAATCTTGTGCAGGAAAACAGAGCAGCAAATGCGCTGAGAGGGATGATTAAGACTCGACGAATCAATGATAACGACTAACTATTTCAATATGTTTGCTCTAAACATCATAATGCTTCAATCTCCATTCAATCTCCATTACACTGTTAGCATTATCTTGTTTTAACCATCGTGTCAAAGCATCAGAATTGACATCATTTCCCTGCCAAGACTATGGCCTAAGCAGTTTAGAAATTTTAGATGTTCCTTGAATTATGCAAAAAGGCGTTGATAATGTGTTTACATTTGTGGTTTTTACAATGTGAATGAGGATTTTGCTTCACCATAATGGATTAATTCATTTTAAAACAAGGATACAAGTTGAAACACTATTTTTAGTTTTATAAAACCAGAAATTTTCAACTTTTGGACTAAGAGATTTGTCACTTACAATTATTGAATTATAATTAATCGATCACAATTTAAAATTATTGCATTATAATTAATCTATCACAATCTAAATTTGTGCGAGATCCATTAAAATTTTATATAGAGTTTATATTTATAATTCTTTATCCGGATTCAAACTTCAAATCTTCAATTTGATGTCTCAAGTTTTAACTATTGGACTGTCTAATAGGGACCATTTAATTTTCATGATGATTCAATTTAGTTTAAAGTTAGCATTGCCTTGTAGTATGTAGCATATTTATGTCATCAGTTCCAGTTTTTAGGAACTATAAGCAATAAATCTTATTTTATTTTATTTTTTATTTTTTTTGAACTTTTAATCCTGTTCAAGCTACCAATGAAAGATTAGGACTTTGAGACAAACAAATATATATATATATATATATGTTTATATTTTCCATGGAGGCAAGCTAATATTTTAACAAAATAATGATTCTCATATTGAGAAGCCTTTGACGCAAACCATGTTGAGCCTGCTATCATGGTTCAAAGAAGAATGATGTTTCATCTATTATATTGGATTAACTTTAAATTGGATATGAGATAAAAAATAATTAAGCTCTCAGAGACTTTGTTCATACATGTCTGTTAAATCTGTTCCAAGATTGATCAGCTTGGATTCATGGGATAAAACCAAACTTATATCTTACTACTGAGCTTTTATCCAAAATTTTAATCTGAAAAGGATAGCTTTGATTAAATTATTATATCTTGTTACATAGTGATTGTAGACTACCAATTTACATACAAAATCTGTCCATGCTGTACTTTCTTTACCAATTGTTTAAGTGCAAATGAAGACAAGAAAATCATTTAGGTTATCACATCCATTCAAAGTTTTCCCCAGTCAACTTCAGAGGGATATGAAAACAAGAAATAAACTGCCATCCCCCAACTGCTGAAAAGTGACAAAGCAACAACAAGAAGCCAAATTT